TGTGTGTGTGTGTGTGTGTGTGTGTGTGTGTGTGTGTGTGTGTGTGTAGGGGGGTGCAGTTATGGAAAGTTTGTCCCGGGGCGGCCGAGCTCAGGGTACTCCCTCTGCTCCTCCTTCCAGTCCCCCACCTCCGCCCCGGGAGGTTCTGGACGGTCCGTAGGCAACGCTCCGCCGCGTGGGGCCGGCTCCAGCCAAGGGCAGCGGCGGCCGTCACTCTGGGGCGGAGGATTGAGGGACCGAAGGGAAGTTCTGCCCTCGTCCGCCCCAGCTGCTTCCCACTTGAGGGAGATCGCTTCCACCCGACTCGGTGTCGGGTCGGGGCGAGGACGGTCCCAGGGCATCCCGGAGGGGGGTGAATTCGCCCCATGGAGAGATGTCTCGGGGCGCCCAGGATTCCGTCTCCGCTGTCCCCTCCGCCTTCGCTGCAGTGCAAACTAAGTTTGGGACAAGTTGGCAGGGCACGGGCCGCGGGGACTTTGTCCGGGCGCTGGAGGAGCCGCGGCCCGGTGAAGCACCGGGAGCGCCTCTTTGTTGTGGGTCCCCGGGAATGGCTTTTCTATAGTGTGTGAAGAAAGGGCAGGATTACTCTTTTCTACCCAGCTGGCCGCTGGAGGAGTCCGGAGACTGTCCTCCCTGGGCGGGGGGTGGGGAGATGCCTCTCTCTCATTCCTGAGAGGCGCAGAGAGCGAGAGGACCCGGGGATGTTGAACTGGGCTTTTCCATCAAAATGTCTCTTGAGTCTAGACACTTTGATTCCGCTGGGGCGCTGGTGGTCCCTGAGGCTCTTGACAACTCGGTTCTGCTTGGCTTAGTTGGGCCTCACCCGGCCCGGGGGCAGTTGCACGTCACTGGCCGGGATGTCCCACGCAGGCCTCAACACCCTTGGGACTAAATCCAGGCTCTCTCCCAGGCTTTTTCCTCTGTAAGTTTCCCTCCCTCTGTTCCTTTCTCTTTTATAAGTTTGTTTCGCTATTTTCACCAAACTCCTTAAGTTTCAGGAACACTTTCGCCGCGGTAATTCTGGTGGCAGTTGCATAACATGTCTTCTCTGTGTCCTAGCTTAGCTGACTTTTCTGGGACTTGACTTTCTTAACTTCCTAATGCCACGCGCTCGCACTAACCCGGAGCGTTTATTTCCTGGGACCATCGAGGAAGGTGCTCGTAGTGTAGCCTTTACTTTTTTGTTTGTTTCCATATTATCCATTTACATTACCTGTCTTTGGAAACCAGGAATTGCAACTTCCCTTTGGGAGAAAATGCAACCTATGGGACCAAATTATCCTAAATTCGGAGAATTTGGCTGGAAAGCCTTTAGTGTTTAATTCTTCCCCAATTTTCTGTGTACTGGAGTAGTACTGAGTCAGAATAAAACTACATCTGTATGTCATGTTGGTATGGAGACAGCATGGTGTGTTGGTTAGAGTAACCTCCTAGGAGGAAATAGCCCCGACTCACCATGTGACCTTGAGCTGGTAAATAACCACCTATATGTTCCCTGCGGTGAAGTGAAAACTAATGCTATTAACAGCTCTGTGTACAGGATATTTTGTAAGGAAACATCAGGGTGTATCTTTAGGAGTTACATTGTGTGAAGAAAATAGGTTTTTGATAAGGGCAATAGCTATTACATTATGGGGGGGGCGGGTAACACATTTAGGGCAAACTAGGGTGTTCGTTTGTAACATATGTAGCGTCCTGGGCTTTGTGAACAGCACCAAGCCAGAGAAGATAATATTAATATAGAGTATGTTAGTAATACATATGATAAGTAGAAATTCAAATGAAATCTTTTCAGAAATAAATTTTTCATGAATTTGTTTATTTTTGAAACAATCTTTGTGAATACTTTTAAAACAGCTAGAAAGAAGCAGGAATTCAATTTCTAAATTCTGTTTGGATCTCTAATAATTGCAAATTGTAAAATTTTTGAAATTAGTGCATAATGCAAAGCAAATAAAGATGAAAGTAGTTAGCTGTTTACTATCAGAAAGGTTGTACCTAGAAGATTTTGGCCTTTATTTTAAGATAAATATCTTCTGCTGGGTTGGATTCCCTAAGGTCTGCTTGAGAACCAGTCATTCTTGGAATGATCCACTTCCGACCTTTTTAGTTTGTTTCACAATGCCTATTGTAATTCAAATGTATCACTAAATTAGAACTTCCAAATTCGGCAGAAATGAACTGTTCAGAAAAGGGCCTTTTAAATTTACATGACAGTTTGAGTTGACCTCATAAAATTTGGTCTAATTAGCTCCAGTTACTTAGAGAATTCTGCTTGATGAATATATGTGTATTCCTTTGAAATTAATTCTCTGAGCATTTAATCAGAAGAGTCCAAGTCAGAAACTCAGGTAATTTTGAAATTGTGTCTTAGATAATAACTGATGTGGAAATATTCAGGTTAATTAGTAGGATCTTAGAAACTTAGGGCTTAGTAGGGACCTTAGAGACCATATAATCTAAACCACCTTATGTGGTTTGCAGTAGTTTTCAGCTGATATTAAAGCAGTACATATTTCTTTCTCTTTTTTACCAAGTCTTTATGGAGCATTGGGAGGTCAAAGCTTATAGAGTAAAAAATCTTATTATTTAAAGCAGTCTTATCATTTAAAGCACTGTTTAGTTTCTTATGTCATCTGACAACTCTGAAATCTCCGAAATGTTGATAGGTTCATAACAGACACATAATAAGTTGAGAAATGGTTTAGGGAGCTTTAGGGTGTACCAGGTAGATTGTCTTGAAAAAAAGAGAGAGAGAGAGAGAGAAACCTGAGATTTAGTTGATATAGGAAGCTTTCACATGAAGAAATTGCTTTTACCAGGACAAGTCTGCACCTTCTCTGAAGTTTTGTAGTTCTAGAGAGTTTCTCAAGGCACTGAGAAAGTTAAATGATTTGCTTTGCCCAGGGTGACACAGTCTACAAGAGCCAGAGGCTGGCTTCAACTTTTGTCTTCCTAGCTTCCAGGCCTGTTCTCCCTCCAATATTATCACAAATCAGACTAATCTCATTATGTAAGCCAGTTTTAAAAGTTATTTTATAATTATTTAACTATGAAACTTCACAGTAATATTCTTTCAACATTTTTTCCCAGCTGTTAACTTTCTTGAAAATTGTCAAAGAGAAGTATCTCCACTTTGTCTGTCCATAGTATTGCTTTTACAGAGAGATTAAGTTGTTTTTTAAGGTCCCATCTTGCTCAGTGATCTATCAACCTGGATGAAGTCAAATGATCTTTTGCTAGGCATATAAAATACTTTACAAGATGGAGTTATTATTTAACTTGCTTTTGTGTGTTTGTGTGTTGTTAAAACAAGGACACAAGCAAAAAAAAAAGAAAATATTGAAAATACGTTGGTTAAGATTTTAAAATGAAGGTTATAAATTTATTTTTTAATATTCTCTTTCATTTCAGGGTTACTCTTACAGCCTTTCTCTATCATGTAGGTGAGTCTTAAGTTCTTTCCTAGGCCAGTATAACCCATTTTACAGATGAGGAAACTGATGCCCAGAAAGATTAAATCACTTGCCTGAAGGTCACACAGGTAGTATTAAAGTCAGGGTTTGAATTTAGCTCCTCTGATTCCAAAAACTGCCTCCCATATAATACTGTTCAACCTTGGGTAAATCACTTAACCTCTCTGGTCCTCTATTTCTTCATCTGTTAAATGATGATGTAGGACCAAATGACATCTGGGTTCCCTTCCAGTTCTAGATCTATGGTTTGGTCTCTTCCTGTAAGAAGCAGAACCTGGGTTTTAACCCAGGTTTTCCGATTCCAAAGCCAGTGCTTGTTGTACCACTGTAGCGTTCAGTTGTGTCTGATTCTTTGTGACCTCATTTGAGCTTTTCTTGGTAAAGGTACTGGGGTAATTTGCCATTTCCTTCTCCAGTTCATTTTACAAATGAGGAAACTGAAGAAAACAGGGTTAAGTGACTTGGTCACTTAAACAGGGTCACATAGCTAGTAAATGTCTGAGGCCAGATTTGACCTCAGATTTTCCTGACTCCAGGCCAGGTACTCTATCCACTGTGCCACCTAGCTGCTCTTTATACCATTATGCCATATTGCTTTTCTCTTTAAGACTATGCTAAGGGGGTACAAACTCTGGCAGTTCCTACACAATTGGAAAGGGTTCAAGTAGGAACTGAGCAACAAATTGCCTCCTTTAGACTAACCCTTGAAAATATGAGGAGGCTCAAGACAAGATGATGTTTTTGCTTTTTCTTTGAGGCTTTCTTCTCTTGAAGATTGCTCCCAAGGCAGGGAACAGTTGTAATCTACATCAGTGGAAGGAAAGAAACATTTATTAATCACCTACTATGTGCCAGGTATGGTGCTAATTAATTGCTTTACAAATATTATCTCATTTGACCCTAACAACCTTGGGATTTAAGTGTTATCATTATTCTCCTTTTTACAGTTGAGGAAATTAAAGTTAAATGACTTACCCAAGGTCACACAGCTAATCAACTGAGGAGAAATTTGAACTCAAGGCTTCCTGGATCCAAACCAAGTGCACAATATGGTGCTCCATCTAACTGCTTGCATAGGAGAGAATATCCATACCAGTGAACTCAAAAACACATCGAAAGTTTGAAGTAGGGGCAGCTAGGCGGCACAGTGGATAGAGCACCAGCCCTGGATTCAGGAGGACCTGAGTTCAAATCCGGCCTCAGACACATAACACTTACTAGCTGTGTGACCCTGGGCAAGTCACTTAACCCCATCGCCTTGCTAAAAAAAACAAAACAAAAAAAACAACAACAAAAAAAGTTTGAAGTATAAAACTTTAGTATGTGCTCCCTACCAGTAGTACTCAAAACAAGCCAGCACAGCTGAACTTTCTTGTGGCAGTTGCTTTTTAGAATTAACTACCTTGTAATAGATGAAAAATAAACCAGATTGCAAATCCTGTTTTGTTT